AACTAAACCCAAAACCAATCGTGACTTGCTCGCGCACTTTTTCCCGCGCTTCGCGTCAGCTACACATTTTAACGTCATGTTTTGATTGGTTCACTGTATTGTCTGTGTCCTTTGTGATTGGCTAGAGTAATTACTTTGGTTTTGATTTACGACAATCAATTGAAAACCGCTCTAAAACCTAATCTTAACAGTATAGTTTTGTTAAAGTTAAACTAAATTGTATTATTCCGCTCCACTGAAGCTGTTAAAGAGCCGTCATCATGAGTTACACATTCAAACATTTTGACTCAAATTGAAAACGTCGGGCAGACGTTTTCAAATCCTGAATGCCTTCGTCTCAAAGAAAATAGCTCTACGAACTAATTACCACTTTTTCCCTTCAGCAATTCACTTTATGCTTTCACCTTTAATAGTGTCCTAGGCTTTTGAGTACGAGCGAAGGTACATGAACATGTGATAATTTTAGCATCTTTTTGAGGGTGTAATATAACAAAAACCCTGTTAATGATTTCTAAGTGTCGGGTGAGTACCATCTACTCGCAAGGATTTTTGATTTTTTTCAGCTTAACACCTTAAAAGGTGTCACGGAAACTCTAAAGCTTGGTTTTCACCACGACATAAGCACAAGCACAAAATTAAGCAGAATGGTATAGTGACGACGCACACAACACAAGCATAAGCACGTAGGCATGCGCAGAAAGGATAATTACCTTATTTTCGGTTCCATACAGCAGCGCGTTCTCACTTGACACAAGCACAAGAAGAGCAAACATTTTTGAATTGCTTGTGATTGTGCTAATGCCTGTGTTGTGCGCATCCTCACTACCGTGGGCGTTCACGTTATGCTTGTGCTTGTGTTTGTGCTTATCTCGTAGTGAAAACCACCCTTGACCGCTATCATAAACAATGACATGCACATGACAGCTCTATTAACAAAAAGCTTCCAACCTGTTCTACTTTCTCCAGGTCCATTTGAAGACGGGTGTGCTCTAACGGTTACAGAAAGAAAACATNAACAATCAATAGGCAAAGTTTCACAAAAATCTCAGTGCAGGTTCTATTTCAGTGGAATGACCTTAAATCATGGATAGTAGAAGACTCTTTACTATCCATGCTCAAATTGAAAACGTCGGGCAGACGTTTTCAAACCCTGAATGCCTTCGTCTCAAAGAAAATAGCTACACAAACTAATTACCATTTTTTTTCCCTTCAGCAATTCACTTTATGTTTTCACCTTTAATAGTGTTCTAGACTTTTGAGTACGAGCGCAGGTACATGAACATGTGATAATGTTAGCACCGTTTTGAGGATGTAATACAACAAAATCTCTGTTAATGATTTCTAAGTGTCGGATGAGTACCATCTACTTATAAGGATTTTTGATTTTTTTCGGCTCAACACCTTAAAAGGTGTCACGGAAACTCTAATGCCTGGTTTTAACTACGACATGAGCACAAGCACGAAAATAAGCATACCTTATTTTCAGTTCCACACAGTAACGCGTTCTCACTTGACATACCCACAAGCACAAGAAAAGCAAACATTTTTGAATTGCTTGTGTTTGTGCTAATGCTTGTGTTCTGCGCATCATCACTACCGTCTGCTTGTGCTTATGTTTGTGCTGTGGGCGTTCACGTTATGCTTGTGCTTGTGTTTGTGCTTATCTCTTAGTGAAAACCAGCCTGGACAGCTATCATAAACAATGACATGCGCATGACAGCTCTATTAACAAAAAGCTTCCAACCTGTTCTACTTTCTCCAGGTCCATTTGAAGACGGGTGTGCTCTAACGGTTACAGAAAGAAAACATACAAGTTAGCGTTGAATCTCAGAACTGAAGTTGAAGAAGTTTTACAATTCCACTTGTTAATTTGAGGGACCATTCACTGTATTGAGTCCAATGGGCTGTTGAGGGATCTACTGAGCCCAAGCCTTTGCGTTATAGTGGGTTTACAGGCTGGAATGTACGAAGTCGAAGAAAAACAAATGACGATTGCCTCTGACTTTGTACCTGACTGGCTAAGAGATCATGTCTTTACTTATTACCTCTGATTGGCAAGACAACATTGTAGGTGTTTTTACAAACCAATCGAAAGAGCTACACAAATGCAAACTCTGAGAGAAGGACCTCCTTTTACTCAAGATGCCTCGTTATTCTGGGGTGAATTTGTTCCGGAGAGCACAAACTTCATCAACTCTCATCTCAAATTATTCTTCGTTACACATTCAAACACCCTGGTAATATGGAAACTTTCTTTGGTCTCTACATTAACATCCAAGTTTCAAAAACTTTTTAATAATGTGCTCCAGTCCTTACCTGAGCCTAAACTGGCCGCAGTAGACTGGGACTTGTGCATCTGTGTTTCCTTAAAGCTCAAGTCATCCTATGTGGTGAGTTGGAAAGAAAAGACACTACTGTATATAATAAATTTACAAATAAATTTTCAAATTCGTCCGGCGTAGTGTGGACCAG